GGGAAGAAACTAGAAAACCTCTTACGGATCTCAGCTAGTGCTAAAAAAGAAACAGTAACGTTAATGGTCATAGGAGAAGCAAAGGGAGTTCATTGTAATTTGGGCAGAGGCCTAAAAGATAAAGAAAAAAGATGACCAGGAAAAAGAAGAAAGTAAAAAGAGGGAAGATATGTGTTGAAGGAAGAAACAGTTCACTTACTGTACTGACGTTGCACCTTCCCTTAACTGCCAGTTTAATTGGTTAATATCCCACATCATGCCATACGTAACACAAACCTGGATATAATTACAGCGTTACTAGACATTCCGAGAGGGCCTCCATGCTGAAAATTCTGATGAACTCTGGACAGCTAGTACAAGTTTCCGGTTATAATTTCTTGTTTCTCAATCACGACAATATAAATGTGAGGGACTATTTCACTGGCCTCTATTTATTTGTCTCTTATTACAAATCCTTGCTCTTTGGTCTTCAGCCTGGGACTACAGAACCACATAAGAATGCCTATGATTATCACTTTTAGAATAACTTCTTCTTAGCCCATATGAAACTAAGATTTCATTTTCTGAAACCTTTCCTCTCTGGGGCTTCAGTTAAATATTCAATATATTAAGTGTTACTTAAGCTCTAGAGATGTACAAGTATTAATAGGGGGATCTTGTGCCACGACCAACACCATCAACTGGGGAAACATAAAGGTGACAGTTCTAGTTTCCTATAAATGAACTCAGAAAATTATCTCTTCATTTTTCTTCTCCAATTCCAAAATCTACCTGGAAGTTCATCAGTCTGAGTCTATGACTCGTATGTGTGGAGCAGTGTACCTTTTAATTCAAAAATATGAACCGTTACCCTTGCCCTCTACGCCAGTGTTCCACCGCCAATCTTAATAACAGCCGCATTCTAAATTCCTAGACTCTCAGGAAGGCTTATTTTGATATAGAATTACTGAGAAGTCTGCTCTGTTCTGAACCGTTGCGCCCTGTGTTGGTTAGATCAACGCCCATTTACTGCACAATCGTGTTATAGCCTGAAGTTGCTTATACCTTTACCTATGGTCTTGATTTCAAATCAAAATTCAAGTTACTCCTCCAGATGTTTGGGTTTGCAGTCGCCACGTAAATGGGCTTCTAGGCTGGAAAATGTTGGTGATGTTCAGTTTCCTTTTCCTTAACCACCTCCGTGGTCCGTCTTCTGCTGAATGAAACGCAGCCTTCCCAGAGCGGCAAATGTACTCAGCGCATTTGCAGTGGGAGAAGAAAGAAACCGTAATCATTCCCTGGGAGCCTGGGCAGTGAGCAAGAACAGCATCTAGCAGGAGGGTCCACAGTCGCCCTGGAGCTGGAGGGGCACGCCAACATCCCAGCAGCATCAACATTAGGCACTCTTGTGCCAATAATGACACACTGTCACATGTATATGTGAGCAAATCCTGCCTTCCCAACTCCTTCCTTCTCTTTCAAAGCAAACAGATACACACAGGGGTGGAAAACAGCCACTTCAACTCTGTCGGTGCACGTCTCCCCGACCGACAAGTCCTTTGCCCTCGCCGTGTGCTGGAGGCCAGCCAGGCTGGGAGGGAAGCGGCAGGGTCGAGCTGGACCATTCTCCCAGGAGACCCAGCCGCCAACAGTGCAGGGAAGCCCTCCACCCTGCCTAGGGAAGAGAAACAACCTCGGGTTGAATTTCTAAGCATCTGGATCAGGGCAGTGTCCGGGGCTCCAACAGGGCCTCTGGAACATGGATACGGCGGAGCCTTGCTGGTTAGGCTGCTGGGAGATCAACGAGAAAACACACACAAAGCGCCCTGGGAGCAAAGAAAGCTCAGTGGTGGACAGGAACCGGGGGAGCATCGTCACGGGTGGCCAGAAGCCACATGAGAAGGGGGGCCGTTGGCCTCTGCGTTCTCAGTGTGGGCAGAGTTCCCCTCAGGCAGCTCTAAAATCAATCCACTTGCCCCCCGGAAGGAAACACCCAGGGCCGGGTTTACTGGCTGTCTGTCAAAGTCCGCATAACCGCCCCTGTGATGCGATCACCTTTGAGGAATAGAATGATGTGTAACCAGACCACTTACACTGGCAGGTGTTCCCTAGTCTCGGCCACGAGCAGAAATTTTTTAAAAAGTCAACCATTCTCATGAAAAAATGGACATGATCCGGCCTTAGAAGAAGAAGGAAGAAATAGAGGGGGACCAAGATTCGGGAAGGGTCGATACACTTCACAGCACCGTCTGCTGATTGGAAACAACACGGGGCTCACGGATGACCAGGCGATTATGCAAACCCTCAGAAAGTCCTAGGAAAACACACAAAGGTGCCATCTCTGAAGAATAACTTTGGTGGGGAAAAAAAGACAATTATCAAGCAAAGCAGATTCTCTTAGTCTTAAACAGCAAGTAGCAGAGGTGATCAAACCCACTGACACATCTGGCAACACTGTCCCCCAAACTAAGACCTTTCACTATAGGGAGAAGAAAACAAAGGCGTCATCCAGGGAAGCCAGCAACAAGCTTCTAACCCCCAGAGGCAGCGCCTCTTCCTGTCTCTACGAGAGAAGAAAGGGTGGTACAGAAAGGGGCAGACGGGCGAGTTTTCTCACTTGCCCGTCCACGCGGACACCATCCACCTCAGTAAAGCTCATACTCACCCAGAGCAAAGCCCTGTGCTCTACACACACATCCCTGACAGACAGAACCACCGTGAGGCCAGTGTCCCCACACCTGAATGACACAGACACCTGTGAAAACTATGGCATCGGGCCCAACGGCATGGCTGCCGTCAGGAATAAGGTGTATTACAGAGCAGACACATGCCGGGTACGTGCACAAACGCCTTACCTTTAATCCCGGCAACGCGCTAAACACAGGGTATTGCTTCATCCGCACTTTACAGATAGGAACACTGAAAATTAAGAAAGCTAAGTAACTCGCCTCGGGTCACACATCCAGACGACTTCTAGTGGTCACTCCCAGTCTCCCAGGGACGGGCACTGTCTCTCTGATTTATTAAAGATCAGATGTAAATCTTGCAGAGAGAAAGCCACTGCTCTGGAAACAAGAGATCCCCAAATACTGGGAAACGATCTGAAAAGAGATGAGCACCACAGAAAATCCAGCACCTCCGACATTCCCTCACGGCCCATCAGCAAAACTTCTTGATGTCTTAGATATGGGGGGGGGGGTTGTTTGCCAAAATATGTTGTGGCTTTAAGCTTTTCTCCTGGGCGCAAAAGCAGCACAGCGCTTTATCTGCAAAAGCAGTTTTAAGGCAAAAGGTTTCCTCAGGAAGTATAGTCAAAGGGGGCCACATATGTACCATTTCTGCACAAGAATCCCACCTGTAGCTGGCATCACTGCCACCCGGGAAGTCCTGAGACTGGGCAGCCTTGGGAAGGCTAAGGACGAGGGGCTTAAAGTAAATGCTTAACTAAGAAGAGTGGAGGGGAGAAAAGAGAAGAAAACCTATAGAGATTTCAGTTATTCCAATAACTAACGCCCTATTCTGCTTTTCCAACCCAGGAGGTTCCCTCAGGGGAGCACCCAGATGACATGTACTCTGGTCAGGAAATCTGTGGCCACCGTGGACAACCTGCTGCTTCATCTCTGGAAGAAACGTGGGGTCTCATTTTGAGACTTGGCCTGTTTCTCTGCGGCCTTGCATGCGCTATGGCGGGGGAGGGCGTCTATGCGCCTGTGTGTGTATAGATGGATAGACACACGGATACATAGAGCAAGGCTTGCTCCACCGCCCCTCTGCGGAGATAAAGGCTCTACAGGGAAAGCTGAGCGTGTGAAAACCTCCTTCAAGCTCCAGTTAGCAGTTTCTAATCTACAAGTCATTTGTGAGACACAAGGCAGGGACCCCAGAAGAATTTTAGGTATGAACCGTGAACTCACTAACTCCCTCCTGGTACTGCTCGAAAGGAAAGAAAAAAAAAAATGAAAAAGAGGCTCGGGGGCTGCTTGAGCTTGGCTGAAAAGCAGAACCCGGCTGCAGCCCATCTCACCCGTCGGTATTTTCGATACAATAAACGCCTTCTGGACGAGTCCCTGGCCACTTAAAAGCATCTCCCCACCAGAGGTGTTCTCTCTCCCTTCGTGTTTTCTCAAGCACTTGTTCAAAAACACATTTAAGTGGAATGTTTTCGTTTCTGCAGATTGCATTAATTATGGGTTTGCAAACACTGCAAGCCCACGAGGTCTGCCCGAGCCGGGGGCTGGGACACCAGGGACCAGCCGGCGGCCGGCGGCTTGGCTCGGCCCCTGCGCGGAGCTCCGCGCTTGGCACTGCGCGCCGGGCGGCCGGGCCCCGCCGAGAAGTCGCAGCTAAGAAAGCAAAAGCCGCCGCGGTCGGCGCGGTGACCCTGGCGCTCGGTACACCCGGCGCGGGGCCCCGGGGCCGGGGAGCGCAGGACGCGGAGCCCCCGGGGGCCCCCAATTTCTGCCTGCTCTAAGCAGGAAGGAAGACAATGTTCACTTGTTGTGTCATCTGCTTCCTCCAAGTTCACGTAGGGAGGGTCTCCGGGAGGGTCAGGCGAAACTTGCGGGGCCCACGAGCAGGGCCCCCTTGGCAGGCAAGCGCCACGCGGTCTGCGCGGCCGCGCGCCGAGAGCCGAGCCTGGGACACACCGGGCCGGGTGGGCGCCGAGGCCCCGCCGGGGCCGCCCTCGGACAATCCGCCGGGCGGCGCCCTCATCCTGAGACCTGGTTTACGCGCGAGGCCCTGCCCACCCCCCGTGGCTGGGGCGGCACGGGACCCCCGATCGCACCCCCGGCCCCGTCACCCGTGCCGGGGGGACCCCAGCAGCCCCGCGCGCGCACGCCGCCGAACCGCCCAGGCCCCACCTGTTTCGGCCGCGCGGGCGGAAGGAGGCGCCACCTCCCCGAGGGTCACCTGCTCCCCGTGCCTGGGCGCTTCGGCCTCAGGGGACCGCGGGGACCCCGCCGGACCCGGGCAGGAGGCGGCACGGCGCCACCGCCAGGTCCCCGCGGGCTGGGACTCACCGTGAGCGCCGAGAACTTCTGCGCGGGCGCCTGCGGGAGCAGCCCCGCGAGCAGCGGCAGCCAGAAGAGCCGGGGGAGCAGCATGGTGACCGGGCGCGGGGCCGGCGGGGCTCTCGGCCCCGGAGGGCGAGGGCGGCGCTCGGAACAGCGGCCGCGCCCTGCGCGCTGGCACGGCGGCCGGGGAGCCGGCGGAGGGGCTGCTCGGGGTCCTCTTCCCCAGCGCTCCGGGAGGCCCGGACTCAACCAGCTGCCCTCCCGGCACCCGGCGGTCCTCCGTGTCCTCTGCGGCTTCCCTGGCTCCTGTCAAATAACTGCCGAGCTTCCCGGATCCTCCTCCCGCCCGCCCGCCCTCCTCCCTCCCTCCCGCCCCCCAGCCCCACCCCCCGCGCCCGCCGCCGCGCCCCGCTCGCTGGGCTCGGACGCCCGCTCTGCCGAGGGGCCGCCCCGGCGCGGGTCTGCGGCAGCAGGAGATGGAGAGGGGGCCCCCAGGGCTGTGCTGTATCCCGCGGGTGCTGCGTGCGCCTGCCTCCTTCCCTGAACGCGCGCAGACGCGCGCACACACACGCACACGCGTGTACACACACACACAAATGCACACACGCGGACACGCACACGCGTGCCCACGCCAACGCGCGCGCACCCTGGGAGGGCCCCCGGCACGACCACAAGATGCGCATCGCCCTCCTCCCATCCCAGGGCCCTGACCCGGTCCGCGCAAGAACGGCTCTAGTGGCCGGTGCATCCCACAGAGTTAACTCGAAGCCTAGGTCAGTCCCCAGCCATCCTTGGGTCTCCTGGAACTCTGGGCTCTAATGCTACCTCGTCCAGCCCAGATTGTCGCCTCTCAAATTTGTTGATTGATTAGCTGGCTCTCCAGTAAGGGCAGCTGTCAGCACAACACGAAACACCACCCAAAAGGTTCAAGGAGCGTGGCGCACCTACAGCATTTTTCTGCAGGTGAATCCACTCGGGGGCTTTTAGGGGACCTGGAGATCTTGGGTCTGACGTTCACGTAGCAGTGACCTGGGGCAAGTGTGGCTGGCGGGAACGTGGCTGCTTTGAAAGCGTTTCAGGTGTTTCTGAAGCAAGCACAGGGGGTGTAGAGGTTGCAGACTCGTCGGTGGAGACTGGTGGGAAACCAAGAGAATTCTGCACTCTGGACAGTATCCATTGCAGGCAACATTGCTGAAATAGTTTCTCCTTGGCTTACAGCTTTACAGGAAAGAGCCCTAATACTAGCTCCCACAGAAAACCAAAGGAGTGAAGATTTTCAAGAACAATGCTTCGATTGACTTGTCAGGGGCACTGAGAAAAAGAACAAAACAGAAAATCCAAATCGGATTTTTTAACCCCATGTTTAATCCGAAGCTTTGGCAATGAGTTGGGGGGTGGACAGGGCTGTACCAGCAGATTTGGGGCCTGGCTGTTGAGACAAAGGCGGGGCTGTTCCAACCACTGGGTCCCACACGGGGGAGGGAGGTAGAGATCTTGGTATTTTCAGGAGGAAAGCGACACACATAGAGCCATGGAAAGATGGGGAAGAAAAGTATCTCCTCTTGAAAGAGGGCTGCTCTGTGAATTCTCCTTCAAATTCCAGAGCCCAGAAAATCTATTAAGTACTTAAACACATTCCTCCTGGCTTGAGAAGGAAATTATAATAAAACTGGGACTGCTCTTGGGTCTGAGAAACAGGTGAGCAGAGCAGCTGTAGATGGCGAAGTAACCGAGGAATACTGGCAGGAAATGTTAATCAAAAATCGAGGTAAAAATACAAAGGAAATACTGCATACCACTAATTCTAAGATCATCCAAAGAGGAAAATTTGCATATGAAACCTTTCAAAGCATTCGCTGCTAAAAATTTTGTTTTTCCTTTTTCTGCTTTATTGAGAGAACTACAAGCCGATAGCTGAAATACTTATTTGCTATTGTGCACTTTTCTATAGAAGTCAGAAGATTGAAAGCATGTTCATTCATTCACCCTCACAACTTCAAGATGAAGAACAAAGCAAAGGAGGGCAAATGTCTTAGCCAGAGCACATGAGCAACAAAGGCAGGACCAGACCCCAGATGCCAAAACTTGCCATTCTGGCTTTTCTACTGCACCTCCTTTGAGGTAGGGAGAAGCAGGGGAAGGGGCAAAAGAAACCCCCATGGCTCTCTAGGTTTTTATTCAAGAAGTTCAACACATCTCTCACGTATTAACAACAAAACCTCAGGGAGTCCAGAAACATAAATGAAATGTATCGTCCAAAGATCCAAAGACTGTCGGTTCAGGCCACAGGTGCTCACAGAGTCCTGGATGCCAAGTGCTAGTTTCTGAGAGAAGCTGGAAGTAGAGTTGGGAGACAAGCAGTTTCCATTTTTACGGAGAAAAATAATACATTTATTAAAAACACTGGGAAATAGTTATGTCTGTCTGTCATTCTTACGTCTCCAGGAAAGTTATTACTGGCATGGATACCAGATGGGTGCAGTGTTAGAAAGAATACATTCACTTAGTTCAAAATTAAGACAGGAAATAATCAGCTCAATGTTTTCCAAACAGTCCCTACAGGACAGACAAGCCTGTTGAAGAAGTTCCCTTCTCTTGGAAATGTGAAGATAAGGGCCCATTCTAAATTGTGGGTGATCGATTCAGAATTTAAATTTTTGTCACTGATGAACCTTATGATAAAGAGAAACTAATGACCCACTACTCCAGCCATCCTCGCATTTCTGAACTGACTTTCCCTCTTAGGCCATTAGCAAAATGCTGTATAAGGCGTACTGGCTTACTTTTTTATTTCTTTTACTATGCTAAAGTTGCAAAAGGATTCTTTTTCTTGCTGTAGGCATGATATAATTTCATTATTATTTCTGGCTAATTCGTGTTTGGCCAGAAAATTTTTCTCAGGTCATTTTCCCACCTCAATAGGCAAAGCATAAGATCTTTAACCAAATGTCCCTGCTGTTTCGGTGTCTCACAGAATTTACCTGGGAGTCACTCATCCTGAGGGTCAGCTGAGCGGGCATGAGCGAGCCCTGGCCAGTGTGTGTGCCCCGGATGTCACGCCACCCACCAATCACCGTCAATCACTTATTAATATGTTCTCCCAGTTTCTGCTTAACTCTGGCAAGAAGAGTCTTTGAGGTTCACTCTCTTTCCCCTGGGTAAATTCTGGATAATTGTCCCCTCTGTGTCCTTGTGTGTCCTGTCAACTCTCAGAATTACCCCCAGAGTTTACCTCTGTACAAGAGAATTGGCAATTTCCGGCGGTTTCTGGAGTCTCTGGCCTCTTCTTGGCCTCTTCACCTGGATGAGCTGTGTCTTCCCTTAAGTTTGTTCTCTTCAGCCCATGACCCTCACATCAGTCCTGGGCTTTTAGCCCAAGCCCCCAACTCCAGAAACCCGAGTGCCAAGGAGGGGGTCACAGACAGACAGAGCTGACTGTGGTCTGACACAGTTAGACAGTGCTCAGGGAGCTGGCCTTCACCGTGACCGTGGGACTAAGTCAGCGGGATAGGTTCTGTTAAGGTACAGACTGGGTGGACCCTTAGCCTGACCCAAGCCTCTTGTCCCTATTTGTAGACATTTAAGTAACAGATAACTTGAATCTGTCTCTGTTCTCAATAAAATCATGTGGACAAATTTCTTCTGCCATCTCACGATGCCTTATGATATGTATTATGACAACACTTTTCAGGCACTTTATGGAAATTTTTAATAGATTGGAATGTGCTGGGTGTTTGATACAAGTCATCTAATTAACTCGATGGAAAGTCAGCAAAGCCCATATATTACAGATGATAAAAATAAGGCCAAGGCGATTACAGGACCAGCCCAGGTTTACAGGAGTAGTAAGTGGTAGGAGAAGGACCCTAGCCCAGCTTTGACCCCGCAGTGCCGGATCCTTCCTCCACACCGTCCACACCTTCGAGCCACAGAGACGCCATCACCGCCCGGCGCTGCTTGGCATGTTGCTTCAGATCCACCACCAAACAAGTAAAAAAAAAGCACTTTGCAGTTGTTTTTGATTCACTGGTGATGCTTCAATCCCACTGCAGTGTTTTCCAAGGTAAGGTTTAACGTTTTCAAAGAAAGTTCTGTTTCGCAAAGCCAAATACAAAATTGCTACTTTAGAGGGCGATCATGTTCCCTCTAAAGTTGACAGGACACGACTGCATCATTCCGAAAGGATGTATTTCTGCGGCCAGAGACAAACCCAGTCTAAGGAACCAACCTTCCATCAGGTCGAACATGGCACAGCTGCCAAGAGCCAGCACAGGCTCCTTGAAATCTGTTTGTATCCAGAACGTCCAGAAGCGATTTTTGCCTTTTCATTCATGAAATCGCATTTATTAGTATATGAAATGTATAGAATATAACAGCTACAGAGCTAAAGTAATGATAATTTAAAGAGCCCATCACTACCAAGACTAATGATGGCAGGCGTGTGACAGTGGAGAGATGCAGAGCTAGTCTAATGTATAGCAGCCAAACTCTTAACTCAGATGACCCAAACTACCTTTGGAGTCTCCCTCCTTATTAACCACAATGGAGGCATCTTTTCTTCTTGTGAGACCTGCCTTTAGGGGGAAGGAAAAAGTTTTTAAATGGCAACAGAAATATGACTTGCCAGGAACACTCCATGGCCTGTGGACCACACAGATGTGAGCTATACCAACAGAAAGCAGTGTAAGAAGACACTCCAATTAAGAAACCTTTCAATTACCTTCGGAAACCCCTCACCCTCCCTTAGCCTAGTGCACATGTCAGGATGGTGCTCCATTAAAACCCTCCTCTCCCCCACTCTGAGCTGAATATTAAAATGCAGCCACCCAAAGTTAGTAGAAGGAAGGAAATAACAAAGAGTAGAAATCAATGAAATAGAGTCTAAAAAGACAATAGAAAAGGTCGACGAAACTAAGAGCTGGTTCTCTGAAAAGATAAACTAAATTGACAAACCTTTAGCTAGTCCCACCAAGAGGAAAGATAGAGCACTCAAATAAATAAAATCAGAAATAAAAGAGACATTACAGCTGATACCATAGAAATACAAGGTGTCATAAGAGATTACTATGACCAATTATATGCCAAATTGGACAACCTAGAAGAAATGGATAAATTCCTAGAAACATACAACCTACAAAAGGTGAATC